ATTGAACAAATAAAATTCAGAAGACTATATGAAGAAAATAGGACAAAATATTGAACACAATTATTTTTAAAAAGTTATATTTTACAAGAATATGATTATGAATATTTTATTTTCAGAATTTTAAAATAATATTTTACATACTTTGAAAGTATCAATATAGTTGTTAATATAAATAAACAAACACGCATAAAAATTAAAAAAACTTGAGATTCCAAAAACTTTTCGAAAGAAACAAATATAAGGAAATAGAAAATGTCAAAAGTTTATAAAATTTAAGATTCTTGTAAAATTTTAAAGATTTAGATATCTGATATTTCAAGCATATCAAAATTTCATAATTTACAAACTTAAGAACGCAAAGAGCCAATCGAGGCATAAGAAGGAAGTTAAGTTCTCCAAAGATTGACCAAGATGCAAATTAGTCCATACTACTTAGCATAAATAACAGGAACAAGTATATGATAAGTGGTTGCAAGCGACTTGGGTTGTCAGTTCTTTGCCAGTTGAACGGAAAGATAATCCTTCGCTGAAGGGCTATGAAAGGAGCTACTTCATGGCACTCCTCTACACTACCGCAAAAGAGAGAGCAGAAATATCCTCCTTCCTTCCTCAGCTGTCCGAGTTTCCCACAGTTCTCCGTGAAGGGGTGACCTTTGTTTCGGATAAGAAGGCCTAGCCACCCATCGCCTCCCCTTCCCACTATGCCCTACCTTGTGTCAGTTTTCACCAACGATTTATCGACGGCGAATCGTGAAAGTTTATGTACCGTGTTGCACCATGTTTGCGTCGAGCTCTCTTAACGACCGGTTCCTCTCCGAGGGATGATCGAGGAAAGCACCCCCCTTCTTGTATCCCGAGAAAATGTGATGCGTATCGATTCATCATTCTAAAGGGAACTTTGGGCCTACTAACACCAACAAATTTTATGGCAACTACAGTTACTGTTAGTTCCCCGAAAGCACGTAGAAAAGATGAATGAAACAGAGTGCTTCTCCAAAAACCATTATTATGCAATTTAATGATAGATGTTAAAAGAATTACTAACGTTATTAAACATGAAAATGTCAACAGATTTTAAAAATAAAAATGTAGTTTTTTTAAATATTAAATATTCCAAGTCTCACAAAATGTAATAAATGTAGGAAAAATTAAGAAATTAAAAAATTAAGAATATTTAATGTTAAATAAATATAAACTTGAAAATAAAGAAATAAATTCAAATTACAAAACAAAATATTTTCTATTATATAATTAAAATAAAGATCTATATTGCTTTAAAATATTATTGTTAAAATATATATTGATAATATATTATATAATATTATGTATTAATAATATACTAAACAACAAATTGTACTTCGTAATAATAATCTGGGTTAAAAATAATAATAATAAAAATAGTATTAATATAATGAGATCAATCATTAAATTTTTAATTCTATCAAAAAAATATAATTTGCTACATTATTAAATAACTTTCACAGCATTCGG